GGGCAGGGTGTTATGAGCAATGTGTGTGAACGTGAATGGTGTGGGCAGGGTGTTATGAGCAAGGTGTGTCAACGTGAATGTTGTGGGCAGGGTGTTATGAGCAAGGTGTGTGAACATGAATGGTGTGAGCAGGGTGTTTTGAGCAAGGTGTGTAACCGTGAATGGCGTGGGTAGGGTGTTTTGAGCAAGGTGTGTGAGCGTGAATGGTGTTGGCAGGGTGTTATGACCAAGGTGTGTGAACGTGAATGGTGTGGGCAGGGTGTTATGAGCAAGGTGTGGGAACGTGAATGGTGTGGGCAGGGTGTTATGTGCAAGGTGTTTGAACGTGAATGGAGTGGGCAGGGTGTTATGAGCAGAGTGTTTGATAGTGAATGGTGAGGGCAGGGTGTTATGAACAATGTGTGTGAACGTGAATGGTGTGGGCAGGGTGTTATTAGCAAGGTGCGGGAGCGTGAATGGTGTGGGCAGGGTGTTAGGAGCAAGGTGTGTGAACGCGAATGATGTCGGCAGGGTGTTATGAGCAAGTTGTTTGAACTGAATGGTGTGAGCAGGGTGTTATAAGCAAGGTGTGTGAACGTGAATGGTGTGGGCAGGGTGTTATGAGCAAGGTGTGTGAACGTAAATGGTGTGGGCAGTGTGTTATGAGCAAGGTGTGTGAACGCGAATGATGTGGACAGGGTGTTATGAGCAAGGTGTGTGAACGTGATGGGTGTGAGCAGGGTGTTATGAGCAAGGTGTGTAAACGTGAATTGTGTGGGCAGGGCGTTATGAACAAGGTGTGTGAACGTGAATGGTGTGAGCAGGGTGTTATGAGCAAGGTGTGTGAAAGTAAATGGTGTGGGCAGTGTGTTATGAGCAAGGTGTGTGAACGCGAATGATGTGGACAGGGTGTTATGAGCAAGGTGTGTGAACGTGATGGGTGTGAGCAGGGTGTTATGAGCAAGGTGTGTAAACGTGAATTGTGTGGGCAGGGCGTTATGAACAAGGTGTGTGAACGTGAATGGTGTGAGCAGGGTGTTACGAGCAAGGTGTGTGAACGTGAATGGTGTGGGCAGGGTGTTATGAGCAAGGTGTGTGAACGTGTGTTATGAGCAAGGTGTGTGAACGTGAATGGTGTGGGCAGGGTTTTATGAGCAAGGTGTTTGAGCGTGAATGGTGTGGGCAGGGTGTTTTGAGCAAGGTGCGGGAGCGTGAATGGTGTGGGCAGGGTGTTATGAGCAAGGTGTGTGATAGTGAATGGTGTGGGCAGGGTGTTATGAGCAATGTGTGTGAACGTGAATGGTGTGGGCAGGGTGTTATGAGCAAGGTGCAGGAGCGTTAATGGTGTGGGCAGGGGGTTATGGGCAAGGTGTTTGAACGTGAATGGTGTGGGCAGGGTGTTATGAGCAAGGTGTGTGAACGTGAATGGTGTCGGCATGGTGTTATGAGCAAGGTGTGTGAACGTGAATGGTGTGGGCAGGGTGTTATGAGCAAGGCGTGTGAACTCGAATGATGTGGGCAGGGTGTTATGAGCAAGGTGTGTGAACGTTAATGGTGTGGGCAGGTTTTTATGAGCAAGGTGTGTGGACGTGAATGGTGTGTGCAGGGTGTTATGAGCAAGGTGTGTGAACGTGAATGTTGTGGGCAGGGTGTTATGAGCAAGGTGTGTGAACGTGAATGGTGGGGGCAGGGTGTTTTAAGCAAGGTGTGTGAACGTGAATGGTGTGGGCTGGGTGTTATAAGCAAGGTGTGTGAACGTGAATGGTGTGGGCAGGGTGTTATGAGCAAGGTGTGCGAACGTGAATGGTGTGGGCAGGGTGTTTTGAGCAAGGTGATTGAACGTGAATGGTGTGGGCAGGGTGTTATGAGCAAGGTGTATGAGCGTGAATGGTGTGGGCAGGGTGTTATGAGCAAGGTGCGGGAGCGTGAATGGTGTGGGCAGGGTGTTATGAGCAAGGTGTGTGAACGTGAATGGTGTGGGCTGGGTGTTATGAGCAAGGTGTGTGAACGTGAATGGTGTGGGCAGGGTGTTATGAGCAAGGTGTGTGAACGTGAATGGTGGGGGCAGGGTGTTATGAGCAAGGTGTATGAGCGTGAATGGTGTGGGCAGGGTGTTATGAGCAAGGTGTGTGATAGTGAATGGTGAGGGCAGGGTGTTATGAGCAATGTGTGTGAACGTGAATGGTGTGGGCAGGGTGTTATGAGCAAGGTGCGGGAGCTTGAATGGTGTGGAAAGGGTGTTATGAGCAAGTTGTGTGATAGTGAATGGTGAGGGCAGGGTTTTATGAGCAATGTGTGTGAACGTGAATGGTGTGGGCAGGGAGTTATAAGTAAAGGTGCGGGAGCGTGATTGGTGTGGGCAGGGTGTTATGAGCAATGTGTGTGAACGTGAATCGTGTGGGGAGGGTGTTATGAGCAAGGTGTGTAAACATAAATGGTGTTGGTTGGGTGTTATGAGCACGGTGTGGGAACCTGAAAGGTGTGGGCAGGGTGTTATGAGCAAGGTGTGTGAACGTGAATGGTGTGGCCGGGGTGTTATGAGCGAGGTGTGTAAACGTGAATGGTGTGGGCAGGGTGTGATGAGCATAGCTGTGTGAACGTGAATGGTGTGGCCAGGGTGTTATGAACAAGGTGTGTGAACATGAATGGTGTGGGCAGGGTGTTATGAGCAAGGTGTGTGAACGTAAATGGTGTGGGCAGGGTGTTATGAGCAAGGTGTGTGAACGTGAATGGTGTCGGCATGGTGTTATGAGCAAGGTGTGTGATAGTGAATGGTGTGGGCAGAGTGTTTTGAGCTAGTTGTGTGATCGTGAATGGTGTGGGCAGGGCGTTATGAGCAAGGTGTGGGAACGTGAATGGTGTGGGATTGTGTTATAAGCAAGATGTGCGAACGTGAATGGTGTTGGCAGGGTATTATGAGCAAGGTGTGTGAACGTGAATCGTGTGGGCAGGGTGTTATGAGCAAGGTGTGTGAGCGTGAATGGTGTGGGCAGGGTGTTATGAGCAAGGTGCGTGGGAGTGAATGGTGTGGGCAGGGAGGTATGAGCAAGGTGTGTGATAGTGAATGGTGAGGGCAGAGTGTTATGAGCAATGTGTGTGAACGTGAATGTTGTTGGCAGGGTGTTTTTAGCAAGGTGCGGAAGCGCGTATGGTGTGGGCAGGGTGTTATGAGCAAGGTGTGTGAACGTGAATGGTGTGGGCTGGGTGTCATGAGCAAGATGTGTGAACGTTAATGGTGTGGGCAGGTTGTTATGAGCAAGGTTTGAGGACGTGAATGGTGTGTGCAGGGTGTTATGAGCAAGGTGTGTGAACGTGAATGGTGTGGGCAGGGTGTTATGAGCAAGGTGTGTGAACGTGAATGGTGTGGGCAGGATGTTATGAGCAAGGTGTGTGAACGTGATCGGTGAGGGCAGGGTATTATGAGCAAGGTGTGTGAACGTGAATGGTGTGGGCATGGTGTTATGAGCAAGGTGTGTGAACTCGAATGTTGTGGCAGGGTGTTTTGAGCAGGGTGTGTGAACGTGAATGGTGTGGGCAGGATGTTATGAGGAAGGTGTGTGAACGAGAATGGTGTGAGCCAGGTGTTATGAGCAAGGTGTGTGAACGTGAATGGTGTGGGCAGGGTGTTTTGAGCAAGGTGTGTGAACGTAAATGGTGTGGGCAGGGTGTTATGAGCAAGGTGTGTGAACGTGAATGGTGTGGGCAGGGTGTTTTGAGCAAGATGTGTGAACGTTAAGTGTGTGGGCAGGTTTTTATGAGCAAGGTGTGTGGACGTGAATGGTGTGTGCAGGGTGTTATGAGCAAGGTGTGTGAACGTGAATGGTGTGGGCAGGGTGTTATGAGCAAGGTGTGTGAACGTGAATGTTGTGGGCAGGGTATTATGAGCAAGGTGTGTGAACGTGAATGGTGTGGGCAGGGTGTTTTGAGCAAGGTGTGTGAACGTGAATGGTTTGGGCAGGGTGTTATGAGCAAGGTGTGTGAACGTGAATGGTGTGAGCAAGGTGTGGGAACGTGAATGGTGTGGGCAGGGTGTTATGAAGAAGGTGTGTGAACGTGAATGGTGTGGGCAGGGTGTTTTGAGCAAGGTGTGTGAACGTGAATGGTGTGGGCAGGGTGTTATGAGGAAGGTTAGTGAACGTGAATGGTGTGGGCAGGGTGTTTTGAGCTAGGTGTGCAAACGTGAATGGTGTGGACACGGTGTTGTGAGCTAGGTGTGTGAACGTGAATGGTGTGGGCAGGGTGTTATTAGCAAGGTGATTGAACGTGAATGGTGTGGGAAGGGTGTGATGAGCAAGGTGTGTGAACGTGAATGGTGTGAGCAGGGTGTTTTGACGTAGGTTTGTGAACGTGAATGGTGTGGGCAGGGTGTTATGAGCAAGGTGATTGAACGTGAATGGTGTGGGCAGGGTGTGATGAGCAAGGTGTGTGAACGTGAATGGTGTGAGCAGGGTGTTTTGACCTAGGTTTGTGAACGTGAAAGGTGTGGGCAGGGTGTTATGAGGAAGGTGTGTGAACGTGAATGGTGTGGGCAGGTTGTTATGAGGAAGGTGTGTGAACGTGAATTGTGTGGGCAGGTTGTTTTGAGCAAGGTGTGTGATAATGAATGGTTAAGGCAGGGTGTTATGAGCAATGTGTGTTCACGTGAATGGTGTGGGCAGGGTGTTATGAGCAAGGTGTGTGAACGTGAATGGTGTGGGCAGGGTGTTATGAGCAAGGTGTTTGAACGTGAATGGTGTGGGCAGGGTGTTATGAGCAAGGTGTGTGAACGTGAATGGTGTGGGCAGGGTGTTTTGAGCAAGGTGTGTGAACGTGAATGGTGTTGGCAGGGTGTTAAGAGCAAGGTGTGTGAACGTAAATGGTGTGAGCAGGGTGTTGTGAGCAAGGTGCGTGGGAGTGAATGGTGTGGGCAGGGGGTTATGAGCAAGGTGTGTGATAGTGAATGGTGAGGGCAGAGTGTTATGAGCAATGTGTGTGAACGTGAATGTTGTGGGCAGGGTGTTTTTAGCAAGGTGCGGGAGCGTTTATGGTGTGGGCAGGGTGTTCTGAGCAAGGTGTGTGAACGTGAATGGTGTGGGCTGGATGTCATGAGCAAGATGTGTGAACGTTAATGGTGTGGGCAGGTTGTTATGAGCGAGTTGTGTGAACGTGAATGGGGTGGGCAGGGTGTTATGAGGAAGGTGTGTGAACGTGAATGGTTTAGACAGGGTGTTGTGAGCAAGGTGTTTGAACGTGAATGGTGTGGGCAGGGTGTTATGAGCAAGGTGTGTGAACGTGAATGGTGTGGGCAGGGTTGTATTAGCAAGGTGATTGAACGTGAATGGTGTGGGCAGGGTGTGATGAGCAAGGTGTGTGAACGTGAATGGTGTGAGCAAGGTGTTGTGACCTAGGTTTGTTAACGTGAATGGTGTGGGCAGGGTGTTATTAGCAAGGTATGTGAACGTTAATGGTGTGGGCAGGGTGTTATGAGCAAGGTGTGTGAACGTGAAAGGTGTGGGCAGGGTGTTATGAGCAAGGTGTGTGAACGTGAATGGTGTGGGCAGGTTGTTATGAGCAAGTTGTGTGAACGTGAATGGGGTGGGCAGGGTGTTATGAGGTAGGTGTGTGAACGTGAATGGTTTAGACAGGGTGTTGTGAGCAAGGTGTTTGAACGTGAATGGTGTGGGCAGGGTGTTATGAGCAAGGTGTGTGAACGTGAATGGTGTGGGCAGGGTTGTATTAGCAAGGTGATTGAACGTGAATGGTGTGGGCAGGGTGTGATGAGCAAGGTGTGTGAACGTGAATGGTGTGAGCAGGGTGTTGTGACCTAGGTTTGTTAACGTGAATGGTGTGGGCAGGGTGTTATTAGCAAGGTATGTGAACGTTAATGGTGTGGGCAGGGTGTTATGAGCAAGGTGTGTGCACGTGAAAGGTGTGGGCAGGGTGTTATGAGCAAGGTGTGTGAACGTGAATGGTGTTGGCAGGGTGTTATGTGCAAGGTGTGTGAATGTTAATGGTGTGGGCAGGGTGTTGTGAGCAAGGTGCGTGGGAGTGAATGGTGTGGGCAGGGGGTTCTGAGCAAGGTGTGTGATAGTGAATGGTGAGGGCAGAGTGTTATAAGCAATGTGTGTGAACGTGAATGTTGTTGGGAGGGTGTTTTTAGCAAGGTGCGGGAGCGTGTGTTTAGTGTGGGTAGGGTGTTATGAGCAAGGTGTGTGAACGTGAATGGTGTGGGCTGGGTGTCGTGAGCAAGATGTGTGAACGTTAATGGTTTGGGCAGGTTGTTATGAGCAAGGTGTGAGGACGTGAATGGTGTGTGCAGGGTGTTATGAGCAAGGTGTGTGAACGTGAATGGTGTGGGCAGGGTGTTATGAGCAAGGTGTGTGAACATGAATGGTGTTGGCATGGTGTTATGAGCAAGGTGTGTGAACGTGAATGTTGTGGGCAGGGTGTTTTGAGCAAGGTGTGTGAACGTGAATGGTGTGGGCAGGGTGTTATGAGGAAGGTGTGTGGACGTGAATGGTGTGAGCAAGGTGTTATGAGCAAGGTGTGTGAACGTGAATGGTGTGGGCAGGGTGTGATGAGCAAGGTGTGTGAACGTGAATGGTGTGGGCAGGGTGTTTTGAGCAAGGTGTCTGAACGTGAATGGTTTGGGCAGGGTGTTATGAGCAAGGTGTGTGAACGTGAATGGTGTGGGCTGGGTGTTATGAGCAAGATGTGTGAACGTTAATGGTGTGGGCAGGTTTTTATGAGCAAGGTGTGTGGACGTGAATGGTGTGTGCAGGGTGGTATGAGCAAGGTGTGTGAATGTGAATGGTGTGGGCAGGGTTTTATGAGCAAGGTGTGTGAACGTGAATGGTGTGGGCAGGGTATTATGAGCAAGGTGTGTGAACGTGAATGGTTTGGGCAGGGTGTTATGAGCAAGGTGTGTGAACGTGAATGGTGTGAGCATGGTGTTCTGAGCAAGGTGTGTGAACGTGAATGGTGTGGGCAGGGTGTTATGAAGAAGGTGTGTGAACGGGAATGGTGTGGGCAGGGTGTTTTCAGCAAGGTGTGTGAACGTGAATGGTGTGGGCAGGGTGTTATGAGAAAGGTGTGTGAACGTGAATGGTGTGGGCAGGGTGTGATGAGCAAGGTGTGTGAACGTGAATGGTGTGAGCAGGGTGTTTTGACGTAGGTTCGTGAACGTGAATGGTGTGGGCAGGGTGTTATGAGCAAGGTGATTGAACGTGAATGGTGTGGGCAGGGTGTGATGAGCAAGGTGTGTGAACGTGAATGGTGTGAGCATGGTGTTTTGACCTAGGTTTGTGAACGTGAAAGGTGTGGGCAGGGTGTTATGAGGAAGGTGTGTGAACGTGAATGGTGTGGGCAGGGTGTTATGAGGAAGGTGTGTGAACGTGAATGGTGTGGGCAGGTTGTTTTGAGCAAGGTGTGTGATAGTGAATGGTGAGACAGGGTGTAATGAGCAATGTGTGTGAACATGAATGGTGTGGGCATGGTGTTATGAGCAAGGTGTGTGAACGTGAATGGTGTGGGCAGTGTGTTATGAGCAAGGTGTGTGATAGTGAATGGTGAGGGCAGGGTGTTATGAGCAATGTGTGTGAACGTTAATGGTGTGGGCAGGGTGTTATGAGCAAGGTGTGTGAACGTGAATGGTGTGGGCAGGGTGTTATGAGCAAGGTGTGTGAATGTTAATGGTGTGGGCAGGGTGTTATGAGCAAGGTGTGTGAACGTGTATGGTGTGGGCAGGGTGTTATGAGCAAGTTGTGTGAACGTGAATGGTGTTGGCAGGGTGTTATGAGCAAGGTGTGTGAACGTGAATGGTGTCGGCAGGGTGTTTTGAGCAAGGTGTGTGAACGTGAATGGTGTGGGCAGGGTGTTATGAGCATGGTTTGTGAACGTGAATGGTGTGGGCAGGGTGCTATGAGCAAGGTGTGTGAACGTGAAAGGTGTGGGCAGGGTGTTATGAGCCAGGTGTGTGAACGTGAATGGTGTGGGCAGGGTGTTTTGAGCAAGGTGTGTGAACGTGAATGGTGTTGGCAGGGTGTTATGAGCAAGAAGTGTGAACGTAAATGGTGTGGGCAGGGTATTGTGAGCAAGGTGCGTGGGAGTGAATGGTGTGGGCAGGGGGTTATGAGCAAGGTGTGTGATAGTGAATGGTGAGGGCAAAGTGTTATGAGCAATGTGTGTGAACGTGAATGTTGTGGGCAGGGTGTTTTTAGCAAGGTGCGGGAGCGTGTATGGTGTGGGCAGGGTGTTATGAGCAAGGTGTGTGAAAGTAAATGGTGTGGGCTGGATGTCATGAGCAAGATGTGTGAACGTGAATGGTGTGGGCAGGTTGTTATGAGCAAGGTGTGAGGACGTGAATGGTGTGTGCAGGGTGTTTTGAGCAAGGTGTGTGAACGTGAATGGTGTGGGCAGGGTGTTATGAGCAAGGTGTGTGAACGTGAATGGTGTGGGCAGGGTGTTATGAGCAAGGTGTGTGAACGGGATCGGTGTGGGCAGGGTATTATGAGCAAGGTGTGTGAACGTGAATGGTGTGGGCATGGTGTTATGAGCAAGGTGTGTGAACGTGAATGTTGTGGGCAGGGTGTTTTGAGCAAGGTGTGTGAACGTGAATGGTGTGGGCAGGGTGTTATGAGGAAGGTGTGTGAACGTGAATGGTGTGGGCAGGGTGTTTTGAGCAAGGTGTGTGAACGTGAATGGTGTAGACAGGGTCTTATGAGCAAGGTGTGTGAACGTGAATGGTGTGGGCAGGGTGTTATTAGCAAGGTGATTGAACGTGAATGGTGTGGGCAGGGTGTGATGAGCAAGGTGTGTGAACGTGAATGGTGTGAGCAGGGTGTTGTGACCTAGGTTTGTTAACGTGAATGGTGTGGGCAGGGTGTTATGAGGAAGGTGTGTGAACGTGAATGGTGTGGGCAGGGTGTTTTGAGCTAGTTGTGTGAACGTGAACGGTGTGGGCAGGGTGTTATGAGCAAGGTGTGTGAACGTGAATGGTGTGGGCAGGGTGTTATGAGCAAGGTGTGTGAACGTGAATGGTGTGGGCAGGGTGTTATGAGCAAGGTGTGTGAACGTGATCGGTGTGGGCAGGGTATTATGAGCAAGGTGTGTGAACGTGAATGGTGTGGGCAGGGTGTTATGAGCAAGGTGTGTGAACGTGAATGGTGTCGGCAGGGTGTTATGAGCATGGTATGTGAACGTGAATGGTGTGGGCAGGGTGCTATGAGCAAGGTGTGTGAACGTGAAAGGTGTGGGCAGGGTGTTATGAGCCAGGTGCGTGAGGGTGAATGGTGTGGGCAGGGTGTTATGAGCAAGGTGTGTGAACGTGAATGTTGTGGGCAGTGTGTTTTGAGCAAGGTGTGTGAACGTGAATGGTGTGGGCAGGGTGTTATGAGGAAGGTGTGTGAACGTGAATGGTGTGGGCAGTGTGTTTTGAGCTAGGTGTGTGAACGTGAATGGTTTAGACAGGGTTTTGTGAGCAAGGTGTTTGAACGTGAATGGTGTGGGCAGGGTCTCATGAGCAAGGTGTGTGAACGTGAATGGTGTGGGCAGGGTGTTATTAGCAAGGTGATTGAACGTGAATGGTGTGGGCAGGGTGTGATGAGCAAGGTGTGTGAACGTGAATGGTGTGAGCAGGGTGTTGTGACCTAGGTTTGTTAACGTGAATGGTGTGGGCAGGGTGTTATGAGGAAGGTGTGTGAACGTGAATGGTGTGGGCAGGGTGTTTTGAGCTAGTTGTATGAACGTGAACGGTGTGGGCAGGGTGTTATGAGCAAGGTGTGTGAACGTTAATGGTGTGCGCAGGATGTTATGAGCAAGGTGTGTGAACGTGAAAGGTGTGGGCAGGGTGTTATGAGCAAGGTGTGTGAACGTGAATGGTGTTGGCAGGGTGTTATGTGCAAGGTGTGTGAATGTAAATGGTGTGGGCAGGGTGTTGTGAGCAAGGTGCGTGGGAGTGAATGGTGTGGGCAGGGGATTATGAGCAAGGTGTGTGATAGTGAATGGTGAGGGCAGAGTGTTATGAGCAATGTGTGTGAACGTGAATGTTGTTGGGAGGGTGTTTTTAGCAAGGTGCGGGAGCGTGTATGGTGTGGGCTGGGTGTCATGAGCAAGATGTGTGAACGTTAATGGTGTGGGCAGGTTAATATGAGCAAGGTGTGAGGACGTGAATGGTGTGTGCAGGGTGTTATGAGCAAGGTGTGTGAACGTGAATGGTGTGGGCAGGGTGGTATGAGCAAGGTGTGTGAACGTGAATGGTGTGGGCATGGTGTTATGAGCAAGGTGTGTGAACGTGAATGTTGTGGGCAGGGTGTTTTGAGCAAGGTGTGTGAACGTGAATGGTGTGGGCAGGGTGTTATGAGGAAGGTGTGTGAACGTGAATGGTGTAGGCAAGGTGTTATGAGCAAGGTGTGTGAACGTGAATGGTGTGGGCAGGGTGTGATGAGCAAGGTGTGTGAACGTGAATGGTGTGGGCAGGGTGTTTTGAGCAAGGTGTGTGAACGTGAATGGTGTGGGCAGGGTGTTATGAGCAAGGTGTGTGAACGTGAATGGTGTGGGCTGGGTGTTATGAGCAAGAGTTGTGAACGTTAATGGTGTGGGCAGGTTTTTATGAGCAAGGTGTGTGGACGTGAATGGTGTGTGAAGGGTGTTATGAGCAAGGTGTGAACGTGAATGGTGTGGGCAGGGTGTTATGAGCAAGGTGTGTGGACGTGAATGGTGTGGGCGGGGTATTATGAGCAAGGTGTGTGAACGTGAATGGTTTGGGCAGGGTATTATGAGCAAGGTGTGTGAACGTGAATAGTGTGGGCTGGGTGTTACGAGCAA